ACAGGCCCCGCCCCTCTGACCCCGCCCACTGTTGTGTTTATCGCGAATTTTAGTTTCTCTTTCCGCATTTTTTGCTTTTTTAAGCTTTAGCGATTGGCTCCGCCCACCAATGGAAGCTCTGCCCACTTTGGGAAACCCCGCCCACTTTTTCGAAAATGATGCAAATCGGCGGCTAGTGTCCGTACTTGCGGACGGCCTCTCCGGCACATGATAATAAAAAAAAAAGGAAAACCGCATAAAAAGGAAAAACTTTGTTCTGAGCGACGGGAGAGGCCGTAATCCGCCAGTAACGGACACTAGCCCACGATTTGCAATCATTTTCGGAAATTGGGCGGAGTTTCCCAAAGTGGCGAGCTTCAACTGTTGAGCGAAGCCAACGCTAAAGCCTAAAAAGCGAAAATCTGGAAGAAAAACCAAAATTCCGCGATAACACAAGTGGGCGGGTCCAGAGGGGCGGGCCTGGTGTGCTGTGCATGGATATTCGTTTCGTGAAGATTGGATGTGAAAAGAACTACGTCGAAAAATGTTATAAAAATTCAGAACTTACGTAACTTCATTGTGAAGTGGGCAGAGTCAGATCTGTATCGCTACCAATCCTTTTCAGTTGAAGTGTGTGTGCAACTAGGAAAAGTTAGAAAAAGACGAAGAAGCAGATTTCATAAAACGTTTTGGAAAACCATGACCGCGCTGAAAAGTGGGCGTGGGTGGTGGGGCGAGGCGTGCAACAGTACCTAGTGTGGTCTAGTTATCAACCACCTAATTGCAAGGGGTGTGTCCGATTTGGTTCGAAAAGTGTCGGATTTGGTTTGAAAAGTGTCCGATTTGATTTAAAAAGTGTCCGATTTGATTTAAAACGTGTCCGATTCGGTTTGAAAAGTGTCCGAGTGATTTAAAAAGTGTCCGATTCGGTTTGAAAAGTGTCCGATTTGATTTTAAAAGTCCGATTTGGTTTGAAAAGTGTCCGATTTGGTTTGAAAAGTGTCCGACTTGGTTTGAAAATTGTCCGTTTTGGTTTGAAAAGTGTCCGGTCTAAAGTGAAAATGGTATATACCATATTGGGTTGGCTCTTGAGTAATGGCGTTGTTTTCCTCTTAAAAAGTCGCGCTAAATGTGAAAAGTTTTGCTGCTTTTTCTTACACTGCTTTGCAGAGAGTTGCTTGCCCTGTGCGACATTCTTCATAGTTCTTTTTGGATTCGTTTGCACTAACAGTTGAGCGCCCTAACTGGAGTGTCAGGTCGACGAAATTGAGCATTTTCCGACAGCCTCTCTTATTCACATAATTAGAGGGCTAAAACCGCACATGGGTGTTGGTATGTATATGGCGAAGAGGCTGTGCCTCTCATTGTCAGAAATGCTCACAACGGTTTAACCAATTCATAGAATTCAATTTTGACCTCACAGATAAGCATCGAACCTAATGCCGTGCTGAGCCCAACTGAGAGCTTAGTGAATCACCTTATTCATGGGGATCTGTATTTTTTTGTGTCGACAATACGCTCCATTTCAATGGAAGGAAAGCAATAAAGCTATCATATAAATCGGAAACTTACCTATCGAATAATATGGAGCACAATGGAAACATTTATCACTTTTCGTATAAAAATTTATGTAAGAAAAACGCCATTTATTCTCAATTCTCTTCTCTTCTCAACGCCAACCCAACACTTGGTTCACACAGCATTATGAACAACGTATCGCGGACATTCGAAGTTGTTCGCTGCCTCTCGTGTGGAATTCTAGGCTTTTCATTACAGAAAAGTTTGGTGGCAGTTTTGAATCTCGTTGGTAAGCGTAAAGTTCCTTACAAGGGGGGGGGGTCATTCAGGTCATGGCGTGCCTTTTAGAAGTGGGTTGCTGCATGTTACGGGGCTCCAAAGATCACAAAGAGTGGGTTTCGTTAATGCTATGCGTTTCTGGGAACGCCAAAAAGAAGTAAAAATTTGCTACGAAAAAGTGCTTCGAGCCATGTGAAAACTTGCTACGAAAAAGTGATTCGAGCCATTTTGGGGCTCTTTTCTTGTTGCTGAGTATGCATAATTTATGAGACGTTTGTCATTTGTCATAGAGAAAAACGCAAAATACGTTAAATACGGTAAATAGGTGTCTTGCTGGTTATACTGAGGTAGCATTGAAGTTTGCTCAGCGATTCCTGCAGCAACCCTCTGCTCTCACGGAAGGGGTATTTGGCGCCAAAGGGCCTGTCAATTGTCGGAACCGTGATCAGGGGCATCAATTACCCCTTCATACAAAGGTTCAGTAGTGTTTTTCTGAGCTCTGTGGGTCATGACCATGTCATGTGCTGGCTACCAGTATTCGTTATACAACTTCGTTACGTGAATCTCTTACTACTTACGAATGATAATTAACAACTACCGAATCAAAAGAGGGACAACTGTACTGCACACCATCTACACCTTGAAAGCCAAAGAAAAACAAGTTCCGCTTTCTACGCAGGAGTCACGTCAGCAGGTAACCCTCAGTAGTCCTTTGATGAAAGTCTGGACAGTGGAAGTCGAGAGAGGTCCAGGATGTTCCTTCACGTGCCCTGTGGCCAACATGACGCTTTTGAAGCCGTGCCGGGTTTGAGAGGCAAACTTGCCACGTTTGGTCTCGCGTATGACCTACACGGTCACGGAGATTTCGAATTCGGCTGTTACGGCCAGTCAAATGATCGATCTATAGGGCGAATGGTACGCCGCGGACATAATTTACACCCACACCAGGCCTTCGCACACGGTATTTTCTCCGGACAACTCGTCGCCATCAGACAATCTCTTGATTGACGTGAGTCTCGCCCTACTTCGCCAGACGCTAACCCATACGCTCAAATACGTAATGCTAACATAATCAGTCCCGTTTTTTTTTGAGCTGATTATCTTCTTCCTCCATCCTCACTTCTCTGCTTCAGTGCTGCTCAGCTACTCTGAAAGTGGTTCTATTATGAACATTTCTGATAAGATATCCTTCTTCCAAGAATCTTGCAGTGTATGATGCATGATGTATGATGTATGACGCATTCTAAAGACTCTAAGGAAGGAAGAAAAAGACATCAAGAAACTCGGGAAATTACTAAAAAAATGAGTTAGGTTATTGGACCTCTCCTTCCTCAAATGGTTTAGCTCTTCGTCCAGGTTCAACTGTTCCTCTGACTGCCAGTGTATTAGTCACTCTACCCTTGCCATCGAAACTGGGTGATTCTTTTGGGCAAAACAGATGAAACAACAGATGAAACAGAGAAATGGCTACAATGCACCATCTCCGCTCACCCTCTGGCTCTAATTAATGAGAAGGTCTCAACGTGAACGAAGTGTACTCACCAAACAGGGGACCACCCCCTCATATCCTGCAAGCTTCCTGGAAATAGAGTTCTCAAAACTCAAAAGAGTTTATGATAGAACTACTTTTATGTAGTTAAGCAGCACCGAAGTATAGAAGTGATAGGAAGAAAGACGGCAAGTAGCTTAGAAACAGACGGAACTACTAAATGAACCATCGATATGCAATTGGGTGTCCTGGCAAAGTAGGGCGAGCCCTCGTCAACCAAGAGATTGTCTGATGTGACGAGTTGTCCGGAGCAAAATGGCATATGCGAAGGCCTGGTACAAGTGGCAATCACGGCCGTGGCGCGCCGTCCGAGGTATACCTGTCTATTACCACCACAAAGACTCGGGATACAAATTTGCTGAATCCTCGCTTATAGACGTAATTGAAGGGTTCGACCACAATTCTGACACTTATGTTTGGCCCCGAGCTCAGTAGTATTCCGAGGGCGTAATAGTTCGATAGTGCCGATTCGTGAAGTATCAGTGTATAGTATGAGCTCTCAAAGGCAGTGCCCGCGTTCAGTTGAGATTTCCCTCTCCCTTCGTGAGCGGGTAGGCAGGTTCGCATAGGCAGCGATAACACCACTTTCGCGGCGTAAAAACGAGTTAGGAGGCCCACGATACCGTCTTCCCTATCATTGGCCCAACCTCTTGTCATTTCTAATGGTTGCCTGATGGTGCGGTTGTTCTGCTGACATGAGTCTCACCACTTCGAATGGTGAGAGTGAGGTGATAAGGGAAAACAGCTGATACCAAAAAGTAAGAACTCGTGCGACCACGGCCTCTTTTCGCCTTATGCACGTACAACCTCAGTTCAGCATGGGGTTCTATTATATATGGGACATTTCCGGCGGGTTTTTCTCTTTTTTCTTCACTCTGGATTATTTGCTACCTTGTTATTATTATCTGAGCCGCATAACGCATCATATTTGAACGCGAGCTCGGCCTCTAAATGACATCACCTGGGTTATATACATCATCAGGCTAAAGAACACAAGAGGACAGAAGTTCGAAAAATGCAACTCTGTTCTCAAGCGGACTCACACCACAAACTCCACCCTGGCGTTCCTAGAAACTATAGAAGTGAAACCCGTTTCTATGGTCCAGTACGAACTCTTACCATGCAGCACACCATTCCTGAAACGCACGCCATGATCTGGGTGACCTCCTTTTTCCTTTATTAGGCCGAAAAAGAGGGAAAAATAGGTCAACCTTTTTTGATTTCTTGCTAGTGGCCCATCCCACGGTTCCCCTCGCCGCGGAGGCTCGATAGCCCTGGCCGTTCCAAGAAAGCACCTCGTAGCTGAGCGTGCGTTGTATCTTTAAGGAGTCGACAAGCTAGGTTTCTCACCGAGGAGCATAGGAAATCGCCGTACACGCTCCAGGCAACACAATGTACACACGTGATTCCGCGTGTAGGCCGGTGTCTTGCACAGTGGAAATATAGTAGAGAGTGCAGTAGTCACACGTCTATGGCCTCTTTGTCTCGCCGCTTTGAAAGCGGAAACGAAAAGGTACACCTTCTGCGAGTACGGACCTGAATAAATGTGCGCGGGTCACTTGAACGCGGGAACTATAGCGGTCTCAGAGGAAAGCTTGTGCGTCGCTTTCAGAATTATTCTCCTATTTTATAGTGGTGCTTGGTTCATATTTTCGCGACTTACTTGCATTGAATGATGTCTTTCATGGCAAGTTCTTGGGAAATGCTACATTCTAGAGACAGTGAGTAGGTCTGCGTACGAGATTGGTGAGTAGGCTTGCGTACGAGATTGGGCTGAAGTGGCATAGAGAATAGGGGTAGGACTTGCTGTTCACGATGCTGTGTGGCATCAAGTCCTAGCTTAGCTGGAGAAGTCAGTTCGTAGCGGGCTTGCCGAGAAAAGCGGATTCTACTACTATGAATATAGAATGGCTGTAATTTATTTTCAGTACCAGTCGGATCGCCCAGCTGTCGACGGGCGCTCCTCCTTTTTTTGACACTCTCCGGCTTCGTTCCTTCTTCTGATAGCTCAAAAAGGACTCTTTTTTAGTACCTTATGATAGCCAGTTTTTAAGAACAGCGTGCTATCACCTTCATGACTACCATAGATTGTTAGCGTAGTGAACGGTAGAACACAGGGTAAAGAAGATCAGTCCAGCTCGCGTCGGAAAAATATAGTTCAACGTGAGTGTAGTTGCAACTTGCACTACAGGAACACAGGTGTCCGGAATATGCGCACTCCTATGAACTTCCTGGCAGACGAACACGTTTGCGCTTGCGAAAGGAAAATTAACGGATTTGTATGCTATTGAATAAGAACGTCAGCTCACGAAATGTTGATGACGCACTTTCAAAAGATAGGCTTCAGCTTCTTTGGCCCGGGTTAAAAAAAGGCGGTAAGCTTTTCTCTTGATCAATGGCGGTGAGGATTGTTTCTTGATCTGAAGGAGGGAGACTTAAGTCCCTAAAAGTTTGATGGACGTTTCCTCAATTTTTTGATAATGAGGTCGTGGAAGTGTTATTTATTACGAATGTATTTGTTTGCCTTTCCATTGCTTTATTTAGCACTTGACGTATGAAAATGCATGGAAGGTTGTTCTGCACAATGTCCGGCCGCGCCGTTACCAATTCATTTCGTGAAATGTTCTAAATATAATCAAAATCTTATACGTTTGCTTGCGTTGCTTGCTGTATGTGAATATGCCTTTTATAGAGAAAAGTTTATCTTGCTCACAGATCGCTGCTATCTGCTGCTGCTTTTCCTTTCCTGACTCCTTCCAGATCTGGGCCCTCCCTTCTAAAAAAGGCATTTGAGAAGGAAGGTGTAAAGAGCGTGATCACTCGTGCCAGAGGGTGGTGTCCCTTTTGGTTGCTTTTGGTTGAAGTGCTTCTTCCTCTCTACCCCCTTGGGAAGATACAGCCAGATAATCTGTTAAATGAACCTGTAGTCTGTAAACCGTGTCAGACTTGGATTGAAGCTCAAATCTAAGGAGTCTGGTTGCGCTTCGGGCGCACATACAGGGGGGGGGGCAAAAAAGTCTTTTTTTTCATTGACTTTCGAGGCTCTATAAGTTACACTTTATTGTATTCTGATCGGACATTTTTACAACCATATTAAAGAGCATATTGAATACTATCGTGACACTCACAGCCTTCTGGACGAGCGCCATCGAGAGATTCTGGCACGCGACGCGATGTGGTGCCTGAGATCAGCGAGATAGTAGATTTCTCCGCCACCGTAGCCCACCCTATTGAACTCCGCCCGAACTGGGTAATTGAGGGGATTCAGGTCAGGGTGACCTACTTGGATATTCCATCTTCTTTAGGTACTCAGCCCCCTTTCATTTCAAGTAGGCGAGAGTTTCTCCAACGCCCTTCCATTCCATGTGGTGGCACCCAATGCTGTAGCAGTACAAAGTTTCCAAGGAGGTACGGGCGAAGTCATTTGGAGAGGATATTCTTTTCGAGTTGCTCGATGTAACCGCCAACGCTCACTTTCAATCCGGGGCCCACGAGGAAAATATCGGTCTCTCCATTGCAGGTACGTCTGGTCCCCACCATCAATTGGCGCCTTGGCGACTGAGGTGAGGATGATGTCCTAGACCGTATCGACGTTTTCGGAGCGTTGGAGGTCTTCCATATTGAGAGTACTGGTCTCCAGGTAGCTATCCATGGGTGACTCCATACTAGAAGTTTCGCAGCTGTTTGGAGGTGACATGAATTCCAAAAGTCTTCTCCAGTCAGGCGACTGGAGCTGACTTCATATTTTGGTGTGCATGAAGGTGATGGGCGAGAGCCAGCTCCTGTTTATTGAAGAACATCTTGGGTGTCTTTCGCCCTGGTACTCGTATGCACGTCTTCTCTCTGGGTAGCGAAAACTTTGCTGATATGTGACTCAATCGAAGTGACTCTTTTGGCCTCCTCCCCCCCCCCTCTGTACATATCTTTCGTTCACGATTTCGTCAATCTTGACCATTCTGTCTTCAGCATCCTCCGCTTGCCGTGTCATGCGCAAAGCAGCTCGGTCAGGCCCTTTCTACACGTACTTGTACATGTACTTGACGGCTTCAATCATTGCACAGATTTCCACATTCAAATGGGCGTTATAATGAAGAGCCAGAAACCTATTGTACGGCACTACAGATCGGTTATCGAGAACTTTTCCACCGAAAATGCAAGTTCTGCCGTCATTCGGTCGGCGATACTCCGGGTAACCGTCGAAATCTGTATGTCGTGTCACGGAATTGCTTCGGAAACCTTTTCATGCATCTTCCATCAATCGTACATATTGAGTGCGGGTTGTCTGCTCCGCAGGGCCTGTGCGTCACGCAAGTCGTGACGATACTGTAAAGGCGAGGCCCGGTTTCCTGGTCGGGTATGACGGCTTGAACGATGGAGTCCACATCAGCGATACTCCTAGGTTTATCCTGCTCTACCGAGGTAATCAGCATGTGGCAGTATGGCAGTCCTCGTTTCTACCATTCCATCACGGATATGTGCGCAGCCGCAGTCCCGAATCTGTCTCTTGAACAACTCGCCTTAGAGCTCTTGCAGCTCGATGTTAAAGACATGGGCAATGGTGTCCGGTCCATCGGAAGCTGTTCGTTCAGTATTTAGTTGCTCGCTGGTTTCCCTTCATGCGGGGTTACACGTGAACGTTATGAAACGTCCGGCTTCCCGTATTTCGATGCAATCTCCTGTCTTGTTAATTTTGCAAAATTGTGCGAGGAGGTTCCTGGAAACGAAGACGGCAGAATGACCTTCTCACACCCGGTGGACCTCCGATGTCGTTTTCACCTGCCACATAATCAGCGAGGCCGCGGCAGCTGTCTACTCTAAGCTCCATTTGGTGAGTGCGATCATAATTGAGCCTATTCTGCTCAATTTTTTAGCTATCTACCAAGAATTGTTGATAAAGCTTTCCCTAATGGAAAGGATTAAACCCGTTCCGGGAAGCAGTCTTGCTGGAGTAGTACTCTTTCTGCGTAATACTCGACGTCTTTCAGAAGGATTTTTGAGCATGTTTGGGTGCCATCCTGGTTCTCCACGCTGGAAGAAGGCGGGGTAGGTGAGCGGATCGCACTCGGATCTGTAACACGAATAGTTTGCAGCCGTCCTGTTCTTACAAGGGTCGTCTTTCAGGGCGTGCCCCGCTGTTTCGAAATGGTCCTTTGCACTTTGTAGGGCCTTGCATGAACCACAAAATTGGGCTTCATTTTCGCTGAGAGACCCCTGGAATGCCAAAAAAAGGAGCGAAAAGGAAATCTATGGAAATTGATTGTTTTTGAACCACTACGAGCTGTAACCGCTTGAAACTTTGATGAATTGCTGAGTGGGAGGACCCTGTAAAAAAACTATTGGAATCGAAGAACAAAGTAGTTGGGGTATGGGGTCTTACTTGTGGCACGTAATCAGCAGTGAACGGCTTCTTGGAATGGTTTCTTCAACGGTCGGAGCAGTGATCAGCAACATCGATCGGATGGCCTATTGGATAGCGTGGATTCTCACGCGGACAGTGAAGGTGGGGTTGATGGTTCTATCCCCCAAGTGCGAGTTCATGCATCTTTTATGTTTTGCTGTTTTCTCGTTCAAATATGTCTATGCGTGAGTTTCAGTTCGATAACTGCCTTTATGGGCACGTTTTGAATGGGGATACTCCACGAATCGGTGCTATTCTATTATTCCAAGTTTTATTTCAGTTTTTCAGGTTCGGGTTCCAAGGGGGGGGGGTCCGTACCATCAAGCAAGACCGTAGTAGAAAGTGGATCTTTTAGGTAAGACCAAGACCGAATCACGAAAATGGAACCCATTTGTAGCTATGGTGCCATTTATCCCTAATATGGAGCCACATGTTTCTTTCAATGAATGCGTTGGGTACACACTAATAAGGGACGTGTACGCACCCAGGCGACAAATTACGTTGGCGTCGGAAATAAGTATTAGAATCGTGATTGGGTCATCGATTACCTGTAGACAATGTTTCGACCAAAAAATTTTTTCCGTTTTTTTTGGGTCTGTGCGTCGGGTTGTGCCCGACAGTCTTTCTATAGAAGTCCTACAGTGCCTCGCCGTAGAGACACTCCTATTTTATCAATATCTTAACATCTAACAGTATCGATGTATTTCATGGAAAGAGGAAGGAAAGGGAAGTATTCGTCCTGCTTGGCTTGAAAAAAAGTTGTGGAACTTGATGAGTGCAATTTCTGTTTCGGTGGGGGAGATTGACATCTTTGTTGAGCGAGCAGGCGGGAGGAATTGGCAGAGGCCCAGATGCTTTTCACTAATGCCGACCACCCACCCGGATGCCAAGCATGAAAGGACCTTGGACGCGCTCCTGCGACACGGCTGTCCTGGCCGGCGGCCTGTTACGTCGTCGCCATCATCGTCCGAAGATGTGATTCTGCGGCCACCATTGCCGACCGAATGGTCCACCACAACCCAAAAAAATCGAAAAAATTTTTTTGGTTTGTTCGTCCATAGGGGTAATCAATAGTCCTGATTACGATTCTGACACTTATTTTCGACGCCGACGCAGTTTGGCGCCAATATAGCGCTCAATGTCTCTCATATGGGGGTACATGGACGTAATTTTCGCTCTTTTTTTGGCGTTCCTGGGACCGCTCAGCGAAAACGAACCCCACCTCTGTGGTCAATGTTCCAGCCCCTACAGAATGCAAAAATCATTCTGAAGAAGCGGGGCACGCCCTGAGCGACCTTCCTCGTTAGATGAACTGTCGGATTATGCTCGTTGGGTACGTCTCCATCATCTCCAACATATACCACGGCAACTTCATGCAGCCACGGCTGTAGGAAGGTATACCAGGAAGGTTGTGCATAGGTGTTAATTGCATGCAGAAATTCACTCAACTTATGTATCAGGCGCGGGTTGCAGTGCCGTTAGCTGGACTTCCCATCCTTTCCTCTGCTACCATTGACGTGTCCAGAAAGTAGACCTGGCCGTATCGGTGGGGACGACCGTTATCCGGACGCGCAGGTCCTATTCTGTGGCAAATTGGCCTTGGATGCGGAAACAGCAAGGGCCATGTCCACGTGGGGTATCCAGCTGAGCACCCATATAGACAAAAGCAAAGGCGCTGTTATAGCTTCGGATGTGCTCACGGCACTCCTTGGGTTCGGCTTCCTGACTTGTGAGCAGTCGCTGCAGGATAGTTGTGGAAGTGCCGCAAATTGATGCTGCCATGATTGCAACAATCATTGAGGGTTGCCCTTCCCGATTCCAATCTAAAATGTTTTGCACCCACAACTTCTGCACAATAAATCCATCTGACCACTGAAGTGCTCATCCGGGCTTACATTAGTTCTGGCTATCCGTCTTGTTTTAACGTCGAAAACTCTGTTACGGTTGTGATGGCGTTCCGCTTCAACACGTCTTCCTTGAGTTTCCTCCAGTGTCTCTCGTGTCCTCCGTGTTGGCTCCCTTCTAGCTAAGGTGAGGTTGCGCTGTTGTCGCTGTCATCTTCCTGGGCTCTACGTTGTCTCGCTGTGGTTGCATCCTCCGCTCTCCAGTATTCTCAAATATCATCATTTTCTTGCTGCCTCCTATTTCTAGATCTTTCGGCTTTTTTCATCAAACTTGTGATCCTTCGCTCCTCCTCTAAGCGTCGTCGCGTTCGAGCTCTCGCTGCATCATCCGCCATACGCGCTTCTCGATCTGCAATCCTCTAGATGTCTCGTAATTCGAGCTGTGTTAGTGTTCTCTGCTAAACGTGCTCCTCACCCTCAAGTTCTCGTCGAAGTCGACGCCTTCTGCAAATCTCGCCAGAAGTGCTTCCCTGTGTACCTCATCCTCCATTTCCTTGTGAAATCGAGCGGTCTCAGCAAGTTTTGCTGGACGCGCTTGCTTTTGCTCATCATCCTCAAGTTTTCGGCGAATTCGTGCCCCTTCAGCAAGACTCGCCAAGCGCGCTTCCCAATGTTCCTCACCTCCCCTTCCCTTCAAATTGAGGCGCACTCAGCAAGTCTTGTACGAAGCGCTTGCCTTTGCTCCTCATCCTCAACCTCACGGCGAATTCGGGCGCTCTCAGTATTTCCTGCCAGGCGCGCTTTCCTATGTTCCTCATCCTCCGCTTCCCTTCGGATTCAAGCGGACTCAGCAAGCCTTGCTAGCCGAGCACCTCTTTCTGTTTCGGTTTCCAGTTGCCTCTTTCCGCAACTCCCCAACGTCGAGCATCTCTTTGTTCTTGCAACTCTTCTGCACGCCTTCTCCTTCTCTGCTCAGCCTCCTGCTGAAGCCTTCTTTGTCGCTCTTCAGCACTCATTTTCTCTCCTAACCGTCTTTCTAGCAGCTTCCCTCTCTCTATAGCTCGGAGGCTCACTTTCTGTTTCATGTTGAGACTGGCGTATCCTCCTAAAAACGGAGATCCTGGTATGCAGATTTCTTTGCTGATGAAATGTTCTTTCTCCATTGTCAGAGAATCAGGCTGAGTTCCTCAAAAATGATTTTCAAATTCTCAAGCGGACTGGCAGAAAAACCCCTTCTTCATGTAACCCTAGGTTCATCCAACCACTGCTAGCTGAAACCGTTTCTTCGACGTACTATTCTCATCACTCCTCACTTATGTGGATCCAAACATAAGACAAGCGTAGTTGCAAACTACTGCTTGCCTTCATTTGATAGCAATTCTGGATCACCCTGTCCTTTGCGGTTCCTATGTTCTTCACTAGCCTGCTTTGTAGCCTATAGCCCAAATTTGGAAGGGGGATTCCGTTTAGGTCGATGGCTTGGGAATTTCAGCCGAAGACAATGTTGTGGAGTATGCGGGAATCGATGATGCTTAGATTCAGATTTGAGATAGATCAAGCTCGATACTGGCCCAGCAGAAATGTGAGATACCGGGTCGGGGGGGGGGGGACCGGTAAAGTCTTAGGTGATCTTCCCTCCTCATTCATTAGAAGCACATTATTACTTCACCCAAAGTCTTCTTCATGCGGAAACCTCCGAACCACTATTCTGGAGTGGAGCACAAAAGGGTTCATCATCCTATTCACTCCCTTCTCGTAGGAGATGTAAAAAACACTGTTTACGCTCTTTAGTCGTCGTTAATCTTCTGGCGTAAAGTAATGTTAACATCCTTCCTTCTTGTTTTGTTTGCACGAAAAGTTCGACGTGAATTATGAGCTGTCCATTCGAGCGTGTCACTCTTCGACTGAATGTAAAAGGACAGCTCAGACATCATAAAGGAATAGTGGACAAAGCGTAAAATTACTTTGCGAATGACAAGCTTCCCCATTAGCTGCTTGCATAGCCATGCAGGTGGACTATATGTCCTTAACGGAGGTTGTTTTCATTTTGCAGGGTTGCGCCGACGGGTGGCGTTAATGGCGTTACCAAGCCTATTTCATACCGTGTTGGAATGCGCGGCTGATTGTTGTCATACAGTGGTTCCACGCTATAAGCTCATACGATCGGTAAATCTCTGAAGGGAAACTTTGAACAGTAAACATGTTAACGTCCCAAGCAGTGAATTGTTTATATTAAATAGTTTCGGAACGACAGTTTTATATCAGTAGCGTGACAAATATGCGCCTCTTTTCCTCATAACTCCCACTGATGCGTGTTGCTGTTTGCGCGCCGTCCAATACGTCTGACCCGCGTTATGGACCGAATGTCATTAGCGCTTGCAATGCACATCCTCGTGTGCTCGCTCACATTCAGAACATTACCTCAACCCACTGCGTACCGCGTACTGCACCATGTGCAGCACGCTCGTTTGCCTCTGTATGGCCGCGTGCTACACATGGTGCAGCACGCCTAGATTGAACTTATTTAGCATTGTTCAATCACTCAAGAGTGTCAGTGTATTTGTGAAGTATCCCGGAAAGCAATATAGGTGTGGAAAATTGTGAATCAAACTAGAGCGAGATTTTTGATATTTTTTGGGAAACTCTTCAGCTACTTAATCCTTTGTTTATTTCTTAGTAACCAGTCAAGCCAGAAATCTGGCTGTCTCCACTAAAAAATCGCAAAATAATAAAACTGAGCAATCTGTAAACATCTTACGTCCCATTTCCAAACCTTCTCGAACTTATCAACCTTTTTGACGACTGTCGCATTTTTTGACTTTTATCACTCACTCACTTTTATCACGTAATATTATTCAATTATGCTTATCATATTCATGCGTGTAAAATTTACATATGAAACGAACTATATACAATATTTCTATGTCATGAAAATATGACAAAAATTACATTCATTTATGCTGGGCGTGCCGCTAGTCGCGTCGACAAAAAGGCGTCGGCCACAGGCGCCCGTTTTCGCGAAAACGCCGCGGTACGCAATGGGTTAAATTGATACCACGTCATGTATTTGTTCGCAGCTCTGCTAACAGTGGATGCTTCCTTTCTTCAACTTACCGCTTTCATTGATGCTTCTATGTCCGGTATGTTCTTATCAAAGCACACTCTACGCTACCTAGTCGTAATTCCACCAACCCACCCCACCACCACTGCCATAATCCCTTCTCTACCCTGTCACACTGAACGCGCTCACGTCCACTTGCCACGCAAGCAGCCCGTGCAGTAGCTCAGAGTGCACTAAGTTGTTGTCTTATATAGTGGAGTTATCACAATCAAAACACTGGATTGGTACATCTGCACCGAACGCTTTTTAAATTGGCTAGCGCCGTTTTCTCCTTTCATTTACATGTTAAATCCCGTGAAGCATTTTGCGGACGGACAAACATACGTACATACGTACCGACAAACCGACACACAAAACTTCTGCTTTATAAAAAAGAGTGATCATCATTTTATATTACTTTAGAGATTGTGGATTTCGGTTACCCACAAAACACGGACTCTGCAGTACTCAGGGCTTTCATCACTCAACAAGGTGTGCGCACTGCGGTCAGTTTATGAAGCATGGTTCATTTCTAGAAAGATTGTTAAAATCTCTAATGCACAGTTACTATGCCTTTTTTCTCTCCAGGAAGCCAATTTGCCGGTGGTGAGTTTATGCTGTGATGTAACGTTATGTTTGTTGTCCGCCGGGTAATGCTTTCAATTCCTCATGGAACTTACAAGGGAGGTCGTTCAGGGCGTGGTGAGCTTTTTCAAAATGGTCTTGTGCTATATTGTAGGGGCACATACGAGCCCGACCAGAAAACTGATCGGTTCGGTTTGCGCTGCGGCGGCTTCTACGAATAAAATAGAAACTGTCGAAAAATAGGGTGTCGATGCGGTTCGATCCCTCAAAATTTGCTTTTCTACAGTTATTCATTTTGGATCCATGTTTGTGTCTAAATAATGGGTCCTAATAAAGAACATTCCGGATTAAACTGAACAATTCTCAAATTGCCATGAGCAAAAACTGCTTTTTCTTTCGAATTCGTTCGTAGTATGCATGGAACCTCAGCTCTGTCGCACTATGCGGTGCAGGGGCACTGTAATCGATAAATAAAGCTCTAGAATCGTATCAGGCTGTCGATTGCCCTATGGAGCAAGCTTCTTGTGAGCGAAATTTTTTTTTTTGAACTTCTTCGGGTTGAGGTGGCCGACCATTTGGTCGGCCAGTATGAGCGAAGTTTCACATACTCTCTAACACTCGTGAGAGTATCGCTTGACGCTCATACTGGACACCGGACAAACCCAATAAGCGAAACCCAGCAAGTGTCAAAACGATTGTGGTTGACTGAAAATGTTTTTAATAGGGTAATTCAGTGTGCCCTGGTCAACAAAATATTAACACCTATTCTTGGCGTGCACGGCATTTGCGACAAGAGGCGATGTAGGAGCCGAACGTCCCTACATGGTGTACATAACGAATTCAACTGGAAAGAAGATGTTTTTTTTTTTTTTTATTTTTTGTTTTTTTTTTTTTTTTTTGTTTTTTTTTTTTTTTTAAAAAATGTTTTTATTTTCTGGCCTCAACTTGTCCTATAATTGACACCACACCAGAAATTACTAAATTCGCGAATGTCAGATCACGGTATAGCCTCAATGAGGATCAACGTCCAGCAACAGTCTTGTTCAATTGGTAGCTGTGAAGTGTCGAATATACGTGAATAGCAATGACTCACTGGTAAGCGATCAAATGTGTCCATAAATGCCAATACCGATTTATATTTCATCGCGCCAGACACAAATGGAAAGCGAAGAAAACAGCGAATCTAAAAAAATGCAAAACGCCACGGCCGCAAGGAGTAAGCCGAACCATGCAACCCCACCCTCACTGTCCCATTGCAACCTCCACTCTTCCGCGGAGGCATTCGCACATGTCGACTGTGATTAGCGCTCTTATCGCTGATGAATCGCTATTGCCAAGAAGCGTTCCCCTTGAGCACGATTGACCCAGTTGGAAGTACACTTACGGTCGACTTTTTCGCTTCGATTCAAACGGCCCCTTTTTAAGGACCCCCCCACTCATCAACCTGGGTCAACATGTCTGCCAAAAATACGCCGCTTAGAGCCCAGAACGAAGCCAGATTCACAGCAGATTTTTTTCACTCGCTTTTTTACACTTTCCTGGAAGCGCGCAGCGAAAAGAAGACACTTTTCGTGCCTCCTTGCATGGAGCCCCCACAATATGCAAAAAACCGTTTTCGAAAAGCGCACCACGCCCTGAACGACATCCCTTGTTAGAGTGGACACCTAGTTGCATCGACGGAGCCTCGAGTGCTGGTTATAATTTCGCTGATTGAAAGTGCTGCGGGGTTCGCCAAAGAAGTTATGGGTGGTCAAGTTTTGCTGTATCTGAGTTGATGGTATTGTGAATTGCTGAGCGGTGAAATGTCAAAACCATCATGGCCTAATGGCACCGGTCTCACCTCACGAACAAATGAGTTCGCTCGCCGAAGACGCGAAGACTGCTTTGTTCCGATCAGATCAAATACAAAGTCAGTCACTATCTACTCCTTATGACTCAACCTATCTGGCAATTCGAAGTTTGGGCCTGATCGTAAATTTGTCCAGAAATTTGTTCCCATTTGTAGTTTGACTGTTGAATACAAATATTACATTCGTTCTACCAGAAAACGCCTTAGTCCGCGCCGCGGCAGAAAGTCCCTGGCGCCAAACTGTCACTAAACACCTAATTCGCTGAAATCGTGTCTCTGTTTCGCGTTTGTTTCGTGTGTTTTCAAGACAGCGGTAGGCACTCTTCACGCTGCTGTCATCAGCATTCATGGTGAGAGAAACGGTTTTTTGTGTCTAGCAGACGAGAGTCGTTATTCAGGGGGTCTGCAAGAGTACGAGTTTCTGGCCATATTAAGCTTCTGGCCCAAACATCAAATTGTCTCGTAGCATGGCAGGGTGCAGATAGTGAACATTTCTCTATTTGTTCTGCCGTGTCAGATACTTGACCTACTCGCTCTTTCCGGTCATTAACTCGGAGGATTGTCAAAAACTGGAGAGAAAGCATTATCGGAGATGGAGCAAAAGTTTGCGACAACCGGAAGCAAACTCAAAGGTTTCTGTGTTTGAAGCGAGCGGTTACCATTACCCCAAGGCCCCACTGGCATTCCCCCGCTCAGCTGTTCCCACATGCCAACGTTTCGCTTGCAGCAGACTTTGACCACGCAGAGCTAGCTTTTTTGGGTGATCCCGTAGCGATTTTGATTGCAAATTTCGCCAACATTGCAGACTCTATGCCGACTCTGACTCTGCGCCGAAGTCTCCATTCAAAGTTCCATGGGAGGATGACAGCATTCCCTGTCAACTAGCCTTGCTAGTCCGTGCCTTTGAGAACGGCGTAGCGATACAAGAACACCTGGAACACAAACTCCCTGGTGCAAACCACAAACCCAAGAACGAAAAACTCATATACTGTGTAGTTGAGGAATAGGAGTAATACATCAGAAGCTGTTAAGGAGGGTCCTATTTGATAATCCCAAACTAAACTATAGGGAATAGGAGGTAACATAAGCTGGGACCATATCATCAAAAGAATATGTGAGATTCAAAAACGGCACTATGACCCCTGGTCTCGAGCACGTTGCGACAGGAGTGGTGCGAGTGTAAGCCCTAGCCGCCAGTAGTGCTTTAGCGCTAACGCTGCGTTCAGACTTCGCGAAGATGTGCTACCGTTTTATTCGCGCTCGAATGCAACTCAACTCCAGCCTTTCTTCACCTACTTCCTTTAAGCATTTAGCGTTCTTTCGAGGGTAGTTTCTGCTTGGTTCCAAAGCGTGTTCATCTCTAGATTATATCAAGTTCACGACTTTTTGAACCAAAGTCACTAATTTTTATATGGAATTGGATGTTCTCCATGAGCCGGACAGCGAGTTAATCAGTTTACTCTGAACACTGCTGCAGGCGCCACCCGAACGGCCATGCCCTTTTTCAGCACAGTCGTGCATTTTCGACTATTGTTTAATAACTTCTGCATCTGCCTTTTTTGCCCACTGTTTATTTCGCACAGATACACCCATTGAGAAGGGCTGTAATGCGGACGCGTAAGCGACTATGCCAATTCCTGAACGATTTCTTGCAAATTTCAAACTTCCATGACTCTCTTCAACCTCGTTGCTTTCACACCCACTCTTCACAATTCGGTAAACAGGCCCTTCGAGAATAAGCTTTTGCCTCGGCCACACATATCTTTTGAGGCATTTTGCGTGCTTCGCGAACCTCGTTTCTTTCTCAAATTGCTTACCTTTCTCGGTGGCATCATTAGGCTCCGCCTAATTTGCGCGAGCACATGCCCATTTTCGTAAAGTGCCTCAAATTACCGTCAGTCCCAATTAGTAGGTCAGTCTCGCTCGTCGCTGGGAAAAGACTTGTATTACTTTTTCTTCTGAAAAAGGGAGACTTGTTGCGGTAAGGGAGACTTTGACCTGCTAAAAAAGGCTCTAGCTCACTAACAGCGGACATTTCCCAAGGACGGGCCAGGCTTTCGCAAAATGGGCGAGGCTTATCGGTGCGTCTCAGATAGATGATCAGTTTGTACAAGTAATAAAAAATCGCAAATGCCCCGAAACGTGGACGTGGCTGAGAGGCGGGGCCTAGTGTGTCAGTGCACATATACTCGGAATCCCTGAGATCGGCTAGGCGTGGCCGCATATTTCAACTTAATCTGAAGGCTTCTATGCTTCTGGCGAGTATTTTCATCTCAACAAAATCGTTGTCATGTCCCTGTCCAACACAGAACAAGATGGCAGTTGTCCTACACTGAAATATTGCACGAGTAACCAGTTTCGCGCCATGCTGAGATGCCACGCCTACTCTGGCTCAGGTATAAGGAGTATATGTGGAGAGTGAGTAAATAAAACGACAATGAAAGAAGATAAGAGATTTCAAGGTCTGCAACAACTTCCTTAAAGACACATGGTACGCTCAAACACATCGAGGGTGTGTGAGACTACCAGCCCCCCCCCAACTGTCGATGTGTCGTGATCCCCCGCCCAAAACTGCACGGGGTCAGAGTACGGGGCCGTGGGAAAGTCTTAAATCCTTGCTACGCCGCCCGTTTTTGTAAACTCACGTTTTTACTAACACCGTCCGCGCGGCGCGGTTGCGTGCAGCTCTCTTGGCTTTTTGCCAAGTCCTGTAAATGCGCTTTGGAATAAGTACAACGCAATTTCTTTATGCGGATAACATTTTAGGTGCTAAAATAAGAAGTGAAGATGATGACGAGGGCTAGAACTCAAGAGCAACTGTGGTGCTTCTGCAATATCCCTCAGAGGCTGCGCATTCCCACAGAACATGACAATAAAAACGGACAACATGACAATAAAACATGACACTACAAGCAAAATGCATTTTTCTAACATTTGAGGTATTGCTCATGCTTCAAAGTCCGAATAGAAGGTGATGAAGATGACAGAGGCTAGAAATGAACAACAACGAATGTAGATGTAAATAAAACAAAATTGAAAAAACTAAGGACGCAAATTATTTAAAATCGCGTG